CTAGCATAAGATTTAGAGTTTACTTTATTTCTTATTGCGATAATGAGACAGATCGAGAGAATTTTTATTTGTACAGGCATACAGTAATTTAGAAATTTGCATGTAGGTTAAACTAGCTGAGAGCTTTTTTGTATTTTACTGCCGATATAAAAAATAAAAGTAGGATTGCTGAAGTAAAAAAATAAAAAATAAAAAATAAAAATTAAGTTTTGTATATTTCTTATTTTCTCATTAATAAGAAATTTAACTAGCCAATCTAGGCTTGTGTTAGGTTCATTGGCTGCCATTTGCTTTCTTGTTAATGTAATTTGTTAAATAGTTGTTGTGCTTTGAGTTTTTTGTAATTGTTTATAATTGTTTTTTGATACATATTAGATGTTGTCAAAAAAGTTAGTTATAATATTGCTTTCTACAATATGTTTTTGTCTGTTTCCATTTTATCTATTTGTTGTTGCTATTTAAATCGGTTTTGTTGTTGTTGTTGCTGCTATTGTTTAAGTATTTGTTATTGTTGCTATTGTTTTTGTTGTTTGGCTTGTTGTTACTATTATAATAGCTAAGAAGTTGCTCTCATTGCTGAAGAAGAGAACACCTTCTGTCAGTTGGTGATGGTTATTAATAGTTTTACAGCTGATTGGGATCCAGCATTTTTTGGTATAAGTGAGTATGGATTGTAGAAGCAGGAGAGGTTAAAATAGTAGTTGATGTTGATGCAATTGCTTGACTCATTTGATTTGTTTTTTTTTGTTTATTTTTCTTTCTAATTACAGGGGCTAGAAATGTAGAGGTATTAATAACATTGGTTGTGGAATGAAATTGTGTATGAATATTACCGCAAAGACATTTGACTGTTGCTGTTGTACATACATATGAAATTTACATGAAATTCAATTTACTGAAACTTAAGTAAAATAATATGAAATATAAAATTGTAATTTTTGTAATACAACCCTACCTATTATGCCGAAATAATCAATTAACTGGATCGGCAAAAAAACATTCGGCTAATTTTTTACAGGCATCCCAAGAGTTATGAAAACAGCTGTAAAGCGGGCCGGGCTGGCAAAAAATGTTTAATCCTAATTGCGGGCCGGGCCCGGGCCGAATTTGCAGGCCTGTCAATTCATCAGATTAGTAATAGTCACATGTTTAGCGTTAGTGCAATAATCTAAACTAGCTATTTTGCTTAAAAAGCATCGCTACGTATTTAGACGCTATACAAACCCGAGGACCCTGGTACATACTAACACTAATTTACTTATTTATATATACACATACGTACGTAAGATACAAATTCATTCACGTTTTATATCCGTGGCCACCATCCAATCAAAACTTCGAATTTGCACACTTGCCATTCTCAGTGTTTGCATTTGGACTATGTTCAATAAAAATTTTATTTGGATGGACATATAAAATTTTATATGTCCAAATTTGTCCAAATAAAATTTTATATGTCCAAATCAAACACTGGCCATTCTAGTTGTTTGATAACCATACACTTCGTAATTTCATTACTACGTTCCTGGTATACAGAAATACAATTCGGAAGTTAGAAATATGTTTTCAAAAGATAAATTTTGGAAAAATGCGCATCGAGTATTGGCTTAGCTTAGCTCAATTAATTAAAGTCTCGACTCAGCTCGAGGTTGGTCAGCTTATAAATAATTCGGATCTGGTCCCCGGAGCCAAAGGATCAGGTTAACATTAACTAGCCAAGTTCCCAAAGTGCTGGTCATCTGACCAGATGTATGGCGCCAACATAATAACTGCCTAAATTAAAATTTCATACTTTGGGGGGCTAATTTAAGCTAAGCCAGCCGTTACTTAAAAAAACACCTTTTCATGTTACCTTCACCAAATTGTTATTCTTTTGGCCTTTTTCATCTCTTAAACAAGTAAAATTTAGTTAATTTAGTGGCTTGAGTTGTGTTGCTTTATTTTGAAATGTCTTTGCTAGTGAATAATGGTGTGGGATTAATGAAATATGTTGCAGTACGTATAGTTCGAATACTTCAAATTTACTTAATGCACTTGATCATGTTTCATACGTAGTCTTCGAAAACATGCGCACGTACGTACTGTAAGATGTATAAAAAATCTTTATGAATCGTGTAACCAAACTACAAATGATGGCACTACGTACGTATATCGACGTTAACCAAGCTTTTGGAATGAAACCATGAGATATTAGTTCGGTGATGAGGTATGAATTAAAAAGCCAGTGTGATACCAGTTTGGTAACATCGCTAGCCTTAGCTAAGAAATAATTTTACTTTTAGAGAAATAAGTTTTCAACTAACCTCTTCGAATTTAAACGATGCCTCAAAGTTTTCGTCTCATTGTTCCGATAGAAGTGGCACACGTACGTACCATATTCAATCAATGATTTTAATAGAAAATTAATAATGTTAATATTATAAATTTTATCAATATATGTTACTTCGCAATCTATTATAACATCCGCCATATAATATTCTAGAACCTTTATATTATGACATACGTACGTACGCACATACTGTACTTCTATGCTCTATATCTGTCAAAATGAATGGAAGGGAGAAATTTTTTTGTATGCGATCGTCATGTGTGATACAAGATCACGCACGCTATTTTGCAATACATATATAAATAGGTCTTTTTTGTTTTGCTTTTCTCTGCCTTCTATTAACTATTAAAACGATTTGGCCTTTAAATAAAATGCCAGTGCGGCACTTGTCAGATGATTTGATCCATGATATCTTGCAATACCTCCGTGAGGATCAAGACGCTCTTTACAATTCTCTATGTGTAAACCGTTTTTGGAGTAGTCAAGTAGTTCCATTACTTTGGTGTCAACCATTTGTAAACTGTCCTCTTTCAAAACGGCATTTACTCATAAGAACATATATATCATGTTTTAATACGGATGAACTTACAAACCTAAGTCCGTGTAAAATTAATCTTGCCGAAGTCCAACCTACTTTGTTTGATTATGCAAGATATTTGGAAAGTATTTCTGATTGTCATTTGAATTCAAGTGTTCTTGATTGGGTTCATAAGCAGATAAACCAGAAATTCTCTGATTTCCCCGTTGGAGCAATTACGGCATCTTTGTGGCACATGTTTTTACGTAAATGTGTGAAGATACAATCGATTTTAATTTCTCCTCATTATTATAGTTCTCATCTTCCAACATTGAAATCAACTTTAGTGACAAGTACTGCAATTCATTCTTTACGCAGTTTGGAGATTGTTATTGATCAGGATTTCATTAAGGGGAAGTTTCCAAACACAGTAGAAATCTTAAAACAGTTGTCTTTGTTATGCGTTAACATTGAGTACATTGAAATAAAAATCTTGAGAGAGACAAATCCTTTAACTCAACAGTTAATTATTGATATTATTAAAGCTCAACAAAATCTTAAAGAATTCAAATTGACCGAGAATTGGATTTATCCAACAAACATCATGACATCTTTGGAAGTTCACGCCAATCATATTACTGCTTTAGGACTATTTTCTTTTCTCTTTGATGATACTTCGATTAAGATTTTATCCAGGTTCACATGTCTGGAATCACTTCAACTTCACAATTGTAGTTGTATTGAAAAGTATCCAAACAGAATTTTATCAGACGCAGTGTTTAATTTAAAGTCTCTTTTCATAGTCAGCACTCCTTCAAGTCTAACTACTTCAATAATCGCTAAAGCAGGCCATATGTTACAATTATTAGTTATGGATTGTGTGAATAGCGATATGATTGATTTTGCTTCAAAATATTGTCCAAATATTTCCATGTTGTATGTTGAGTTGACCCAGAACGATTATACACTTTTGTTTCCTTGGATTGGATCACTGCAGTTGGAGACACTTGAAATTAAATGTTCTGTTGAATCTCGTAATAGAACTCATTTACTTAGTGCAAATGATAGTGGAAAATTTTTGCAACTTTTAAGTCAGCATTTACCTTTGACATTGACTTTTTTGAGATTAGAAGGAATGGAAATTTTGCCAGAGGATTTTAATAATTTCTCAAAGAATTGTAATGTTCCTTTACAAACATTTATTATCCAAGGCATCTTGAAACATTATAATGATGATGAAGTACTTTGTTTAATTTCTCAATTTGCCACTTTACACAAAACCTTGGAACTTTTCGGTATCGATCGCGAAGTTATCCCTCAAAAGTGGTCAAAGAAACTGAAAAAACTTGGGATTGAGATCTTTTCTATTGATGATTTTGAAACATTATATAAAAGCTATTGATTCATTTTAGCATAATATTTCATAGTTTTATGCTTAAACTTTATCTACAACTTTTTCTTTGAATCACTTATTCAGCCCAATGTAAAAAAAAATCCATATCCCTAAATTAAGTGCTTCAATTTATTTCAATATAGAAGTTGTTTCGGTTATTTTATAATCATTTAATAAATCTATATAAAAAAAAATAATTGACATTGTATTTAAAAACATGTTTCATTTACTGTAACTTGTCATTTCATTTATTTAATTTAGAAAACTAAATATTGAATTTTATACTGTATTTATTGATATCGTGCTAATGCATAAATATGTATTATATTGTAAAACAAGAACGATCTGCTTCCTCATTAGAGCTTCGATTATTAAGTACTAAAATATTACGAAAAATTTAATTAAATTCCAAAATTATATGGATTTTTTCAAGAGTGATATAGTCTACAATTTTAAATAAAATGAAAAGTAAATAACATCTATGGCTATTTTAGTGATGAATTTGTGCTGGAATCTAAAGTTGTTGGTGGAATAATATTATACAATGAGGCAGTGCGTAAAAGAAATTTCTGTAATGCTATCCGTACTTCAGCAGCAGTAATATTGTGTGATAATAGATTAATCGCTTCCGGATAGAAGTCAGGAAGATATCGTACAAGCTGATAAAAAAATATAGATGAGTTTAGTCAAAGTCAAATAGGTATACACAAGAATGTATTACTGATCATACATCATCATCTTTAAAGTGGACATATGCATTTAAAACTGTAGTCACTATAGGCGCCCACGCGTTAATATTCCGTGTTTGTGACTCGGGGTCCAATGAATTGAAATGTTTCAATATTTGTTGTGTTAACCTATTAGAATAGGTTATTATATTTTAGAGAGGCTTTGTATAAATAAAATCATAATAATTAACTCACGGTATTAGCTTTCGTTCAACATCTAGTTTTCTCTCAAGACGGTTTGGGGAACTATCATCATGCATTCTTCTCAAAAGATCTAGATAGCACGATGCGCTGCTTGATTCTTGCTTAAGCATGTTGGGCAACTGTTTCATAAGCCCTAAAAATATATTTATATTTTAGCATAGTTTACTTGAAAATGTAAACGCAACACTCTATAAAATATATAATGCACCTATTTTCCAGAGTGCCACTCTCAATTCTTTATCTTCATTGAATTTTTGTGCAAAGCTGTATGATTTGTTTAAGCATTCGCCAATTATCAATAAATGCACGGCGGGAATTGACTCGTATACCGTATCATTGCTTAAAAATTCATTTACAGTATCTATTAACAATAGTTGAAGCAGACACTTTATAATAATCTTATTGAATTTTTGGGTTCTTTGTTCATCATGAGTCACGGTTGTTGATGTATGTTCGGGTTCGGAATAATGTTCTTCAATCATGGATCGAGTGTTCAAATCCACTTCAGAAACGAACCCGTTTACGTTATGCCCATTTTGACCTAAACCAAAAATATAAATAAGAACAGCTGAACAATGACCACAAATTATATAGTAATATAATAATTACCATATAATTCGGTAAACCCATTGGATTTTTCCGAAAATTGGTTAGCAGCATCAATGAAGTAGTGTCCTTCATTAAGTAAATTATGTGGAGTAGTTGTTTCAAATAACTGGACAAACATTGTACTAATTTTCCCCCAATGCTTATAGTCAAGCTTCTTTACATTATCTTGAATCAATTTTTGTAAACAAGAGCCCCCAATACGCGCAAGTGTATCGTTCTCTAAATATATGTATGATTATGAATAAACAAAGCATATAATTCATGTAACAAATCTTAAATATAACCCATTACCTTGTGTTATACAAGAACCAAGTAAATCTAATATCCCATCAATCATTACTTCAAGCGTGTCGAAATAATGTGTGAACAAATCAATCATATTACGAAGAGCTTGGATCATAGTAGTTGATAACCAAACACTCATATCTTCGTGACTTGAGAATTTGGATATATCCGAACGTGATCTTAATACACCAAAGATAGGAAAAAGAACTTGACGACATATTACACCCCAAAACTCTAAAGAATATGTAACACCATATTTTTTAAGGGTGTCAAACATAGAAATTAAGGCTCTAAAATGCAATCAGAAAAATTAGACATCTTATGAATTATTGTCAACACATGCAAGTATAACAACGTTCTAACCTTGTCCTAACTTCCAAATCTTCGCCGTTCATTATAACATCATGAAATCCAAATAGTAATGGATACCAAAATTTGAATGAAGGATCATCGTTAGTAATTACTTTGACTCCAGTCGAATTCGCAACACCATTAGGTCCATTAGTGGGATAATGTATTTTATATTGTGGATACTCTAACATCTTTACTATAGACATGCACATAAGGTCAATTGCTTGAAGACTTTGTTTAAATAAAAAATAATTAATTTCCAATTAATCAAATAGTAAGTACTATTTAAAGAATAATATAAAATATATTACCTTGTTTTTTGAAATCGTTTGTTTTTACAAAATTCCGTAAGGCAAACCATAAGATCAGGGTAAGTACTATTGGATACAATACCATCAAATTGATCTTTTACTATCATTTTAACAATGTCGAATGCCATTACAACAATGGATTCTAAAATAAAATATATTACGTAAATAAATTTTCATAAACAGTTCAAGATATTTGTTAAAACCGAGATTTACCATTCGTTTCTTTTGCTGCAGCAGACAAAACACCAAATAAAGCCTTCCACCCAGATTTGATGTTGTGCGATCGAGCTTGTATCATTTGGTGAACGCAACGCAACACCTTGAGCACATATAATATAATTGTACATCCTTTAATATAGATAGACTATAATTGCTTTTACAGAAAAATACTGTAAAAGAAAAACAATTACCATGTCTTTTATGGAAATATTGGCATTATTGACTAATATATATTCAAAAGGTCTTAAAAAGTCCTTCTGAAATTTAAAATGAGGAAGTTCTTCCTTTCCCAAAAATTGCATTGCAAGCTGACGAAGAGAATCGATGGCAAAGAATCCAACATTAATATTTGGATGGCATCCCACCTACATTATTATTAATGTGTTATTAATGCGTGCAATATATTGTAAAGTTAATGTGCTAATTATATTTATTTACCATATTGAAGTGATCACCTAATATGGCCCACATATTAGACCATTCCATTCGGATACGACCCATATTATAATATGAAATCTCAACTAGTTTTTGTAAACTAAACATTCTTGGATGCTCTGTCATGGTTGAAGACTGTATTTCTTCCCACGAGACACAGCTTAATGCTCGCACAAATTCCACAATAGCAGTCTGTAATAGTGACAATTATAGTTATGTTACATGACCATTAAAAAAACAAAATAAAAAAAAGAACTATACCCCAGAGAGATTTGCGCTCGAACTAAAAACTTTATCAACTGCAACGACCACATGGGATGACCTGCTTTCCAATGCAACATCTTCTGCAAAGGTTATCTTTTGGCATTGATTAAATGAAAACATGTACAGATAGATTAGTTAAAGAATTCACAATACAGTTTAGTTATGGCTTATAAATCACCTGAGATGGCCTTGACGAAATTGACTTTTTTGAGCCAGAACTACTACGCCTTGCTCCATTATCAACTGAAGACGGTCTAATTCATATGCGAAGTAAATAAACAATATAAACTTTGATTATGTGAATAAAAACATACATATAAAACATACATCTAACCTTGGTTGTTTTCTGGCATTAAGCAAGTCAGGTACTACAGTTTGATCCACACCAGTACTTATTAGCTGGAATCTCTCTAGTTGACTAACACAAGTCAAAACCTCTTGCCAGGATCCTTTCAAGTAATTTCCTTCCACTAATGCTATATCTAAAAGAGTCTTAATAGCATCTACGTTTTTAGGTTTCATTTCACCTAGATTGTTCAAAAACGTGAATTTTGCCAATGTAGTGACAAAAGCATTTCGTTCAAGTTCCATATCGAAAAGGCTTATGATACGAATAGCAAGTTTAAAGCCCTCCAATGCTAGACCCGCAGTTTCAACATCCTCTGTGTCTTGAAGTGGACCTGATAATCCAGCAAGAACTGGCATCCATGCAACTTCAAACATTGGACGAACATGTTCAAAATGAGAAGCACTGTAAAAAGTCGTATTTGAGGTATAAATACCACGACGTTGTGCTCTCAGCATAGCCTTGAATAAGTTCTAAATTATGTAAAAGAAAGCCAAGTTATAAACTTTGATAGATGATATTAATAGATAATTAATCATTTAATATAAACCTCAGTTTTATTTGCCATCTCTTGGGAAGCAGCTTGATATGCTTCTCTTTTGAAATCTCTTCTAACATTAACAATAGCGCTACCAAAATTTGCAATACCAATTCCGCCTGAAGTGGGTGTCATTGGTTGCACCAACGCAGCATCTTGTTCATCTTTCATTTTTATCTCATCATTTTGTATTTCATCATATATAGCTATTAGGTATTCTTCAGGTAAATCAGAGTTGTCATTTATTCCACGATTATTTTTTATGAATTCAGCTTTTGTCATGCGACGCTTTATTTGAGGATTGTGAAGATCAGTATTCAACATAATAACTGAATATGCAAGGACATAGGCGGTATCTAGAAATTGACAATGATAAATGTTTAATCGTAAAATGAAATAAATTAAAACATATACATATTCCTATAGACATATGTGAATGTATATAACCCATTACAATTATAGATGCTTTATAGTTTTTGTAGAGCAAAAAAAAAAAAAAAAAACTCATAATTTGTAAAGAATTATTATCATGACATTCAGATAGGTAAAAGCTTTTATATTCTCATAGGATATGTACATATTATCATGAGTCAAAGTTAGGTACCTGCGTTAGCAAATTGTGTTGGGTTTCCATCTACATATCGTTCAGCAAATTTTAACATAAATCTATCAATTTTTTGAGCTTCACCAGGTAAACGGAAAGATTGTAAAAACTGCCGTAAAGCATCGACAAAATTCATATTTGAAAAATCCATTAAATCAACAAACGCGTGCATCGTTGCAATATTTTCTGTTTCACTAAAGTACCTCATTAAAGTTAGCTAAACTCTCGAGATGTTATAAAAATAAATGTATTGAAATTAGCTGGTGCTGAAATTTTGTTCTATTAAAATTTATAGCGTCTAAGATCCAATTATACTAATCTTGATTCCAAATTCACACAAAGTTTAGATTTTAATTTAAATATTTCAAAACTTCAGCATCGGCCAATTTAGCATCAGCTGCATAATAAATAACAATATACATTATTTACCCTTCACCCAAATATTCGCCAATCATGGTCTTGTTTAATCCTTCCGTATTTAACAAAAATTTTGCTAGATCCAAAGGCTCAGCGCTAGGAATAAAACCCGCTGACGCCAGCGCTTGAATTCCCTATTAAAAGGGATACATTATTTTAACATATTTTCTATAATATTTTGAAAAAATATGGACTTACCCTTTTTGGTTTGAAATTAAACGTTTTGATACCATCTTGAAGCACTTGTTTTCGGTGCTTCAGGTTTTCAAATTGCTCTGGATCATCCATAGCTTTTGGAACTGCACTTTTTATGTCAGATGATGCATTAAAAAATGAACCGGATACTGACATTGTAGAAGATGATGGTGACGACTTGCTTGTATTTTGTATCGTAGCCGAATTTTGAGATAATGCTAACTCAGTAACAGTTTCTTCACTTTTTCTGGTTGATTCATCTTTATCATAATAAATGCCTTCCACAGATGATTTATTACTACACCAAGCAACAAGAGAACGTAAAATCGAAACAAGACACTCAAGTCCCTGATATTTTAATGCAAGTTCGGCAGGGAGATTTGGGTGGGATTGTGATGTAGTATTAGTAGTTATTGATTTTGTATCAAGAGATGGTGGAATAACATTTGTAGATTGCGTTGATGTACTAGGAAGCGATGTAGCGGATGAATTAGGATCTTTATCTTTCTCAGAATTGGTGGAAGACGATCCACCAGACGATGAATTTATTGTAGTGTATGTTGTGGTAATTTTTGAAACAATATTTACAATTCTAAGATAATAAATTTAAATTAGCAAAGCTGCCACTTTTAAAATTATATGTCAGAGTCTGAAAATAATTTAAAAACACTTGCCGCTCATATGTATTATCTAAAGCTTCTCTATCACAGTCATAATTTAAATAAAGTTCCACTAGAGTTTGAGGTTCGCTGCAAATCCTTGAGAGGATATTCATTAATGCATATTTATGTTTCATTGAAGATGTTCTCATTTCTAATATTGGAAGAAATATTTCCTTGAAAAATACTTCTATTTCCTTCTGCAAATTTGAATTTGGGACAATAAAAAGGGCAGAAAATGAATAGAATTATAGATGAATGAAATGGCAAAATATTAATGAATTATAAAACTTGTCGATAACCCAACTATGTTGGGTAAATTATTACCTTCAGATGGCTTCTTAATTTATTCATACACTTCCAGAAAATTTCAAGGCTAATTTCAAAAACCTGAGGCAAAGGACTCACAGCGTTTCTACTCAAGCTCAAGCATAAATATTGCTTGACTGCCTGAACGAATTGAGTGCACTCTTGTTTAGTAGATGACACAAATATAACATTTGGAGAAGAAAATACATGTATATGTGTGTTTAATGTTGCCAATATTAGATGTAATGACAAAAGCTTTGATCGCATTGGAGGAGATTTTAAATCTTTTGATGCTTCAGCAGACATGGGTTTCATAGATAATTTGCATAAAGCACGAAACACGAGAAAAGCATCTTTAACATATAAATCATCCCGATTAACTGTATTAGCTTGGTCGAGGGTGGCCACAGTATCAGATGATTGTTGATTCTCAGAATCTCTTTAAAAGTTTAAATAAATATGAGCGAGTATTCAATAGAAATCAGTGCTATTAATATAGTATTCTACGAAGACATACGATAATATTTTTGCTTCTGCCGAAAATTCTTCTGGGCCTTTAAAATTCACCATTTCTTCTTCAACAGCTTTCACAAGTTCTTCGCTAGTTTCGTGAGATTCATTCCATTGTCCAAATTCCAGTGCATCAGAGCTTTCTAAGTCAACTGTAGTTCCAGTGAATGTAGCAGCTTCCTCAAAACTATCTCGTGTATCGCGTTTACCATTTAACTCTTGAGCATCTTTCTCATTATCATTGTCATTATGTTCATTTAAATTTTGGCTCTTACCAATTCCTAAATCGACCTCATTCTCACTTGATCTGTCAATTTCTATTGAGTTATAATTATTATTTCTAAAATCTATATTTTTTCTTTTCTCTAAAGGTGATTCAATATTTTCGTCAGCATTCACTCTGATGCGACTAAATACTTGATTAACCATTTGGGTTAATGTTCCTTGTGCAATTGTTTGATTAACAGAATTTCGCGAGAGTAAAAATATATTATAAGAAAAACGAATTGATTTAAGAAGTGAGGATTGGTGAATAGGAGTTTTTGTTGATGAAACAGCAGCTAAAAGTGCCTTTTAATTTTAATTTATTAGGATTACAGCAAGTAAATATGAAAAATCAATTGTTAACCCTGAACTAAATACATTATTTTAAGATTAACTAAAAAAAAAATAAATAAATACAACCTTTATAATCTGCAATTGCACTTTCTCATCAGTATTTTCACCTACAAAACAATCACAAACAGTATCAATTGCTCGGTCAACCAGTGGCTTTTTGTTTTCGTCTTGAGCGTCTTTTGAAGAATCATCAATATCATCCACGTTTTCTGATATATAGATTCCATTGGTTTCTATCAGATAATTATATGAAAAAAGTTTTTCAATACAGTCTAACGCTGTAATCATTAGTGGTATAATCCTTGTTTTACATGCTGCCTGAAGTGGTTCGAAAATGATGTCTGCATTACTAATATCAACAAATCAAGGTTAAATTTTACTTTTGTGAGAGAAAATTCAGTTTAAGTGAATTAATACCTCGTTTCTCCAGAATTTTCGTCTTTAATCGATTCTTAAAATTTTGTTTATATGACAAAGTTTAATGAGTTAATGATTATTAGAATTGAAAGCAATCAGCACTAACGACATACGATATTTATGAAGCAAAATAAACTATATAGAAGTGGTCGACCTAAAATTACGGTATTCGTCCATTCGTGCATTAAATTTATATAATGTTTAAGCTTAATGGACATACGAGCCAACCTCTATAAATTTTTTAATATCATCAAAAAAAAAAAAATAATAATAATAATAATAGTAACTTACCTAACGCTTTATTAACGCTCTCTTTTAATTTTTTATTTTTTCTTCCCTCTTTACTAGCACCAATACTTTTCAGCGCATTGATGATAAAAACCGTGCTCGATGACATTAATCGAGAACTGAATTTATAATTTTAACGTTAATTATTGTTTATGATATAATTGAAAGCAGATAACGCAATCGTTACAAAAATTAGTTTCTCACACAATTTTTTTTATTTATATTTATGAAATTTCTATTCCAAGAAAACGTCCAATCAGAAAAAGTAACACATGATTTGTAGACAATAACACAGGATTTAACTAGGATGAACAGGAGTTTATTAATCTGATTTATTTAATTTCAAATGAGCGAAGGAAAAAGGAAAGAAACTTTCAAGTTGCAATCCTTAGATTTAGCGAGTGCAGGTCGGTCTGACGCAATTTCGACAAAATCTTCTGTGACTGCATCTATTCTATCACAAGCCCCCCGTCAGTTTTCTTCTAATGCAACCTATAGTTTTGATATCAATGATTTTTATTCAACCTCTATAAACCAGCGGGTATCACCAACAATGTCATTACATGGCCGAAGTTATAGACGAGGGCATTCACACCGCACCTCAATGAATTCATCAATATCTAATTTTAGCACCATGTCGGAAACGTCATTACCATGGACTACCAAGGTAATATCGTCTTTGGTTTATTTTATAAAGCCATTTATATACAAATGCCTAACGTTCTTTTTGGCAAATTGTCAAAGTTACAAACAATAATGCTATGGATTTATTATATTTTTTTTCCTCTATGTTTGCATTGATTCAAAAAATTAAAAAGGACATCGGGTTTAATGGTATTCCATAAATTAAAAGTAATTCACAATTTCAAATATGCGATCTGATATTTATTTGAATTAAATGTTATATAGCTATTTCTGGAGTGCTTAATAATCCAAATGCAAAAGTTTCAAACAAAATCAAGCCTCTAAAGAATGATATCCCTTCTGTACATCGTACTGCTATAAGAAAAGTGAAGCCAACTGATTTCAAAAGTTATATTAGGCAAATTTCTCCGGTATTTGAAAGGTATATTCACAATAGAGATAATCAAAAGCCCTTGGCTACAAGTATCTTGGAAGCAAATCTTGGAAATTTGCAAAGTTCGTACGATGACAATGAGATTCCTGCCCATCGGTTAGAAAGTACGAGAAACCCTTATACTATACCTATACTTCCGCAGTCCCCTGATGAAACGCAATCTTTAAAGCCTGATATTGAGCTTCCGTTATTGGAAGTAGTTCCCTCAATATTTTTTGACCCAGATTTCGACCTTGAGAACCCAAAAACTTTTGATATTGTATGTGAAAAGACTGAAGATATTGAAAATAATATTGATAGCTTATCTATTTCCACTAATGCGATTATTCAAGAAAAGCTTTGTCTTTATCTTGATACAGTTGAAATGCATCTTGTCAATGAAATTTCTTTACGATCTTCTTCATTTTTTACAGCTCTATCAAATCTTCGAATGCTGCATTCTGAGACGCTGGAATGTGTTTCTCAAATTAATAATTTGCGTAAAAAATTGGCGCGCGTAGAAAACTCTCAAGTTAAACGGGGGCTCGAAGTTGTGAGATTAAAACGTCGTCGCGAAAACATTGTTAAACTTTACAAAGGTATAAGAATGATTGCTGAAATACGTTCAACACAACCATTGATACAAATGTTGCTAGGTCAAGGAGATTATTTCTCCGCTATGGATTTCATTGAAAAAGTAAACACTGTATTGCGTTGTGGCAAAAGCCAACAGGATCAGTTAATAAATGCTATCAAAAGTTTCAAAGTGCCGACGTCTGTGAAAGATGATCCTAGAGCCATTATTATACGCAAATTAAATAGTATAACTAAGGAGATCAAAAATTTTGGTGTACTCGATTTGGAAAAAGTTAAGGTGTTAACGTATTTTAGTGAACAGCTTAATGAAATGGACAAGATGATTGGCATAACGATGGAAAATGATTTTTTGAATGTATTATTTTCAGATTTTAGTGAGCATATTAAAAATGTGAATGCAATAAATGCAATAAACGTTCTCCATAATAATAGCAGTCACTTAGCAAAGAATAACGCTATTAGTGTTGTTATAAGTAATAATTTAGTAACAGAAAAAGAAGAAAGGCTAAAGAATCGAATAGGGCCTCTTATTTTAGGCTTATGTGAGATGAATCGATTTGAATCTGCTTTACAAACATATCGTGAAAGAATGATGGAGGAAATTAAATGTATAACTCAGGTTCAAAAGGTCTGTATTTGACTTAAAGAAAAAACTTAAGATATTAAAGTCATTAATTATTTTATATACGATAGTATTTTCAATCGTCGATACCGCTTGATGATGCAGAAGATCAAGCGGATGGCAATCCGTCGGGGGAATACAGGTATAAACCCTAAAAATGCTTCTATCAAAAGGACTATGATGTTAAATAATATTTTAATTCACGTTAATTTCACTTAGTTCACAAATTACAAATTTGATCAAAGAAACGTCTTTTGATGCATTTTTAGGGATATTATCATATATATACGTAGTATTACTTGAAAGCATAAAAAAGATAGCAATATACAATGAAATTTTCTCATCAATTTTGACTGATACTTCAAATACTGATCTGGAAATTAATTCTGAAGAAAGCCTGCTTGAGAATGAAAAGGACTTATCAAATAACAACTTACAAGATGATGATAGTAATTCAAAAGAATCAACGGAGATTGAAATTCCAACTGCTGCAACTCAAAATGAACATATTGAGTCAAAGAATTTCAAATTTAAAACTGCTTTAAAATTTACTACTGGAATAAAGTCTATAATTAAAAAGACAACATTTTTTACAACCAAGTCACAGGCATCTCTACCAGAAATAACACCCAAAATTTCAGAATCTACGTCACCTAATTCTCGAACAAATGAAATATTAGATGATAATAATTACACAAAAATAACTTCTGATTCTTCACAAATAATATTTGTCGCAACAGATTTAGCTCATGTATGGTGTGCAAACTTGATTTCAATTCGTGCGGATCAAAATGCTCAACTAAATCAAAAAGACTTTTACCGATTATTTAACATAACATGGGCATTTGTGCTAGAATCCGAAAGCTTGTGTGGTCGCGTATGTTACGGTCTTCGAGGAACTATTACATCACAAGTAATAAATTATTTGTAATTGTCTCTTTACCGTGTTTCTATGTATTTTTATTTATCTCAGTTTTTTATTGGTCTTTTAGGCCAAAGCATTTTTAAATAATTTTCACGCTGAAAAAATAAAACAAGAGGCAGCATCAGTTGAAAACGAACAATGGGCACAAGCAGAGGTTCCTATTCACTTTCAACAAACTGTAAACCAAATTGTAGCTGCTGCCGTAAAAGGATTATCCGGCTTCAGATATAATCCACTTGGCTGTAAGAATGAAAACGAACAAATTGTCCTGAATAATTCAGATACAAAGCAAAATCATATTGATAATATTGGCAAATATATATTTGTTGAAGAACGGCAATTTTTTATGGTCGGTTGTGGTTTGATACTCCTTGAAATACTTGACGATTACTTGGGTTACATGGCCAATATTCCTGTATTGACCATCGAGACGATGAATAAAATTATAGAAGTCCTAAATGTTAGTGCTAAACTATTCTTTATAATGTTTCTCTGGATGATCCTGTTGTATTAATTTGCCTGTATATCAGTTATTTAACTCGAGAATTTGTCAAGTGATTCTGGGGGGTGGAGCTAGACATTCTGCTGGATTAAAAATTATCACTGCCAAGCATTTAGGTATTTCTATAACTCTTAAATAACAAAAATAAGTTCAGATTGCATCTCTGACGCTTTTTTCCCTCCGTTAGCGCTAGCTTCTCAGTCACTTGGTGCTATTATTACGCTGATACCATTTATTCGCGAATGTATCCGAAATAACCTTAATGACAAACAAATGATAATGTTAACAGAATTTGATCGGATTAAAAGGGTATGTTCATTTTAAGACAAAAATAAATTTATCTCAAGTGCAATATTATATAAATTCATGTTTATAGGATTATATAAACCATCAAAATGAGGTGCATACTAAGCTGGTGTCTATTATGGATACACGACTATTAATCCATCTTAAATCTTTCGGGGTATTGTCTTCAAATTTATTCTATTATCACGAAAAAATCTTTTATGAATACTAAAATAAGCAAACTAATGTTAGTCAATAACTTGGGACGAGTCGAATAAGAAAAATAGACCAAACTCTTATATAGAATTATTGGTAAAGGAGATCATAAAATTGCATAATGTCTTAAACAAGATTTTACCGCAGGAAATTTTGCAGGTATCTTTTTGGAAATTCTGACGGAATAATAAAGATGGATTTTATTAACACACCATATAATATATTAGAAAGTAATGTCAGATGTATTAAAATCATCGAACGCTAAACTTGCGGAAGAAATTGTTAAAGTGAATATTTATACGCCTGTTGGAAAAGAGCGGTAAGAAATATTATTAATTGCTACATGTAGCTATATATTTCACTAGCCTAGCTAACTTTAACCAAAATTTAATACAAAACAAATTATGAATTATCATAAATATATTTTTCCTGTTACATTGATTCAATTTAAAGAGTAACCCAAGATGTGCGATATTATATTCGTAAATTGTCAGCTTTAAACTTTCAAGAACTAGTTAATGAATTAGAAACCGTAGTTAGTAATTTACCGATTAAAGAAAAGAAATCAGAAGATGAAACTGTTGATTTAACCTCATCATCGGCTGAATAATGCTTGTAATGGCAGTAGCTATTCCTACTATTGATGATAAATACTACTACAATAATAATCTATTTATTAAAATTTATGTTTTATATAGATGGATTCCATGATAGGAATTGGAATTGCTTAATCCCTGAAAATTGGTTTATAATTCTGGGTAATTATATTAATCATGGGACAAAATATTTTAATATTGGCTAAACTTAACGGTTGACATGGTTAAACGATTAGAAAATTTTAGAAAGTATTAAATCAAAATTTTCTCATTTACTCTATAAAACTTAATCCTTCTCCTTCCTTAGGATATATCTTATGCTGTTTCAAATATTCATCATTCCTTATAATTTGATGATAATACAAAATTAATAAAAATTACTAGCTTTCTTAAACTAATGACAACACTTACCAAAATTTGGTTAAATGCTATAGCGCATTGTTTCATAAAGCCAGAAGGTAAAATTTAGCAAACCATTAGAAGAGAAATAAGACATTGTTAACCATGTTAAAAAAAAAAAGGCAATATTCGTTGTCGAAGATGATACTGGCATTTGGAACGAATTAATTGACCAGATATTAAGGAATGTAGCGGTTTGCAAAATTTGTGAAATTTGCGATCAAAAAAAAGAAATCGCTCTGATTGTTAATTGATTTCTTAAAATTACTCCGATATCTGAGTATGAAACTATCATATTGGAGTAGTTTTAAGAAATCAAAATCATCTAAAATCGAGTGATTTCTCTTTATTTTGATGATCCGCAAATTTCACAATTTTGCAAACCGCAATAATTACAGTGCTGTAATCATGTATTACCCCGGAAATCAGAAATCTAGAAAAAATACCAATCCACGATTGGTTAGAAAATTAATCAATAATTATTAGCCAATCATGGATTGGTATTTTTTTCTAGATTTCAAATTACATTAAATCTACTGATCACAGTAATTTGAAAAGCGCTGTAGATTAATTCAGCATCATTCCAAATTTCAGTATCATCCGTGATATTTGTTATCGCAAACATACACGTTGACCTGAATCGCACAAAATCGTAACAATACGATTTCCTGGACCTAACTGCCTAGCAACACGCACACAACCAACACAATTAATCGCCGACGAGCTTCCAACAAAAAGACCTGAGCAGCATACCCAGCACGTGGTATTATTAGTGTCCATCGTCAGACTATATTTAACCTCACTTGAAACAAACCTTCTTCCCGAACTAAATATCTTGCCATTGCGACAGCCTCTTCATCACTAACACGTATCGCATCGTCGATTAACTCATTTGCAGCATTAAAGTTTTCAGTCATACGATTTAAACCAACCCCTTCAATAATAGTATCAACCTGATGTCTACGTCGTGTACCCTCAGCTTCATATGGGGAATACATAATATTATATTTTATCTTATTATATAATCCGGAACCAGGCGGGTCAACAAGAAATACCTTCAGGGAAGGTATGAGTGGTTTAAGATAGCGTGATATTCCAGAAATAGTTCCTCCAGTGCCTATAATAGAGCACAAAAACATTACTTCGCCGAATTTAATATAAATAATCGTTAACACTTTAACAACTAATGCGTACCAGCCCCAGCAACAAATGCATTAATTTTGCCGTTGGTTTGCTTAAATATTTCGGGACCTGTTCCATAATAATGAGCTTCACTATTTGACAAATTTTCAAATTGATCAGCAAAAAACCCAGCTTTTCCAGAATTATCTACAGAGTTTTGTATGTCAATAATTTCAAAATCTTTATCCGCAACGTCTTGTTGAACGTTTCTTTTTTTTCCAAATTGCTTTGCCCGACTTCTAGCTAAGTTGACAAATTGCTGTTGATCTACAATGCTTGCTGGCCTCACTTTTTCAACTGTTGCACCTAACTTTTCTAGCAATTGATACTTTTCTTCTGCTTGATCATCCGGCATTATAATCCATGCATTGTAACCTTTGGCACGAGAAATAATTGCAATGGATATCCCTGTGGAACCAGAAGTTCCCTCAAAAATGGTACATCCTGAATTTGGACTAATCAAACCTTGTTCTTCAGCTTTGTTTATTATATTGAGAGCAACCCGATCTTTCAGGCTGCCTCCAGGATTTAAAAACTTTATAAGATAGAAAATTGTTAATTTAAGTTGCGTTAACAATAAAAATGTCTTTAACTCACCTCAACTTTTGCCTACAGAAAATTATGTACATAAATCAATAAAATCACAAGACAAATAAGCAACTAAGCTATGTTATAAATTCCTTTACCAATATCTCGCAACCTGTCGCTTCACTTAAACTTTTGATCCTCATAAGTGGCGTATTACCAATTAAACCAGGAACGCCATCTACAATTTCTTCAGTTCCAGTATAATTATCATGGATATCAGATCTGCTCTTTGTTTGTTTTTTTTTAATCCAGTTTAATAAAGAATTCGTAGAAATGGTGAGCACAACGCCTGCAATTAAGCCAAAAACAAGAGTAGTGGTATGTAAAGGCCGTTTAAAAATACTGTCTGATAACATGGTGTTATAAGGCCATACAAAGTTAATTTTTTGGTTCCCAAAATTTGAAAAGAACCCGGTAACCCAGCTTTAATTTTATTTTCAAAAAATTTTATATATGAACAAGCATATAAAAATTTTTATAGACTTCTAAAAAAAACTTCACCCGGATCGGATATTAAATATAATTAAAAAAGTTTTGCGAAATTTGACGCGGCCGGATTATGTGAACCAGTTTATTAAACCTATGAACACGTGAACTATTTTCTTTTGTGCAACATATTCTACTGTAACATTTTTTTATGAAAAAAAAGGTTTTACCACAAAATCCCGACATCCAAAATCCCGACAGGCAATAATACTGGCATCACCCTATGTGCCAATTAAAAATTTAAAGTCTAACAATGATTGTTAATGTGATTACTAATCGTTAAATACTAATTGTCACGTCGGGATTATGGTTTTCGAGATTTTGGGTGTCGGGATTTTGTGGTAGAACCGAAAAAAAAACGAAATATGTACAAGTTTCCAAGCTGCGCTTTAGTTTTGCACTTGAATGGCTAGTTTTAATACGACTTTGAATCATCAAATTTACTGTAGTCTGGCGATCGAATCTCTAATACTATTTCCCATTTTAAATGATGATCGAATCGGAGTTGCCTCAAAAACTTAGTTTTGCAAACAATTTAGATTTTTACTATTAAACTATTCTTTATTAGAAAGTGATTTGTTTCACTCATTTCATGCTCTTGGGAAGATATATCAATAATCATTTTTGGACTGGTACAAAATTTGAATCGATAATTTAAAACCATTCCTTTCTTTCGTTATAAATAAAACCGAATACTCATACATAAATACAAGAATGATTAACTATATAATATGATTAAAAATCAGCAACTTTATATTTTTCGTAATCTTTATACGTAATCATTGCTTAAATAATAAACGGCGATTTCAATTTATTAATTGTGACTTTTCAACTATGTTTTTGAAACATTTATATTTTTTATTAATGATGAATAGATTTATTAAATTATATACATTGTAAATAATTGAAAAAACAACTCTATTAAAAAATTATCTATATCAAAAAAAAAAAACTAAAAAGTACTAATTTATTTGTTTATTAAAGTTTTAGACTTGAAAATTTCAATATATATACGTTTATATAATATAAATCCAATTTTATTCTAGGAATTTGTCGGTCTTGCATATTACTTGCATATTTCGTAGTCGTATAATATCCTATATTTTATACTGGTATTAAAATAAGTAAAATAAAATAAATAAATTGCATCATAATCAAAAAAACCAAACAAGGACGTTCACAGTAACTGTGGCCACGAAGAGCTTCCGTACTTGATTTTATGTATCATTCACCACCCACAACGATTTCACGTTCACCCGACCCTTTTAAGATGTAATTACCAGGAGTAATTGTCTTAATTAATCGGTCTCGCAAATATGAGATCAAAACCTTAACTGCGGTAGTAACCTCTAAACCATTAGAAAAAGAAATAGACATTCACAACTTGCGGCAGTTATCAGTTAGACATTGGAACCTATGGTAAATAACTTGTGGCCCGAAGCACTTCTATTATCTTCAATTTCTGATTAAAGAGTCGTGAATAAATACATACAATTAATCAGCAACTATTCAGTTACTGTATCATAAACCAGATGTAATTTTCACTTATCAGCAAAAACAACCTAAACATCTATAATACATTACCTTATATGTATTTGCGGTTTGATGTAGTTTTTTAAAAATAAAATAAAAACTATCTATAGGTAATAAATGGTTTTTACTTAGAGTAAAAGTAAAAAAAGCGTAGAAAGATAAAAATGTTAAAGAAAAAACCAATTTATCGGTTTTGATTATTGATCTGATTACATTATTTATATGCTCAGCACCAATTAGATCTCATCAAAACAATTTTTTTTACGTGATTCTTACGTAATTTCTGTGAATATCAGATAAGCGCTTTAGTTTTGATTGGATAATCAGATAAAATGTTACACAATATGTTCTACATGCACAAAAATAAATTGTTAAAGAAAAAAATTTTCAAGTTTATATCTTGTTTTATAAAATTTCTAGAAGTTAGATGAAAGGTATGTTTGAACGTTTAAGTTTAGCCTATAGATGCAATAATTCATTAAAGTTAACAATTTAAGTTGTCTTTATTGTGAAAACTTATTCTTCGTAACATAATTAATGAAAAGTATTAAAATAAAATATATAGTGCTGTAGTGTATTTAACTATATAATGATTATTAAATAAAAATAAATATCAATTTGATATTAAAACCAAATACTAAGAATTATTTGAATTACTGTATTTCTTTATTAATTATTAGCATTCTAGAATACTATATAATTGTGAAATAATATGCAGGGGTGTAACTTTAATTTTTGGCCTAAATTAAGCCAAAATTTAAATAATATACTTCGGTTCATGTTTATGTATAAATCATCTTTTATCTCAATAGCTTATTCAATAAACTATTGAATCAATAAAGGTAAAAGATGGTTTACACGTAAACATAAACATGAACCAGAACTTAGGTTTTTTTCCCGATCGGAAATGTCCTAGTTTGAGAGAAAATATTTTCTATTATTTGAAACTAATTGATGCACAATTTTAGCAAACTAAGTGCACGTAACTATAGGTTATTTGAATTTATGCAAATTGGTATATATAAATGTAAAAACTCTATAACTTCCTTTGGGGCATTTTCTCAGATGCTTCTAACACGAAACAATTTGATTCATACAAAAGATTATGAATATGCCTCATGAAAAGACTATTTACCCAGATATTTCGTACTTATAATAAGACAGCAAGTTGCTTCCATTGAAGAGGTTCCATATTGTTATTGGTTAGCATAAAATCTAATTGATACAAGCGAAATGTAACGTCTGAATTTTCAATATATTTGTTGAGATGATGGAAGAACCTATGTAGATATACAGTTAGGCTCCCTAAAATCACACCAAAAAATTCATAAAGCTTTTTTTAAAAAAAGTGTTTATAAAGAGTTGTGCTTATATAGAGAATTTTTATTATATATTTATAATAATTTATTAATAGGTGTGCTTATAAAGAGTATTTTATATGATATGCTTATATAGAGAGTGACTATATGGAGGTCTAACTGTATCATGTGAGTATGAATTAATATTAAAAACATGAAAAAAACAAGGTAATGATATAGAAAAGACAGTAAAATCAAGATCTATTGAAACTAGAAATATAAAGTTTTTGAATAGCAATAAAGATTAAACATGCCACTTATAGAATAAATTAGTAGAGCAACAAAATTTCAGCAGAACGACCAAAATTTAGGGTTGGAATAGGCCGAAATAGATAAATTTCTCTCCAAATCACCCAAATTTTACTAATAAAATAGTAGCCCACCAGGTTGTAAAATTACCATAATTTACGGTTACTAAAAATTATAGTAAATTACTATGGTAAATTACCATGATAAAACATTTTAATTGTCCAAGATTATACGTATGATCTACAAGATTATACATATGATCGGCCAAAAATTATACAAATGATTAGCCAAGATTTAATAGAAAAGTTGACTATAATGCCAGCCAAAATTAAGCTTAACTCCGCAGCAATTTTGTAACTTACGGTAATTTACCAGTAACTTTTTTTTTTTTTTTTAAATCTTCAAAGGTGAGGCCATGCCTCTATCTTTATTAAAATTCAATTAAACTTCTTTACA